CCACATGAGACCTCATGCTTGAGAAACGAGCGCCGTTACCTCGGATCCACCACCACGACTTGAAAGTTTTTACATGCATAAATATAAGTCTTCTCTTTTATAATTTTGAAAAGGAAATCATCATAACATAATATTCTTATAAGTGTGGGAGAGCCAAGCTTCGGCACGAATGGGTCGGCTCGACCGGAATGATACCACGGCCTCACAGAAAACTGGCGTGAAACAACCACAGCGTTGTGTTTCGCCGTGTGAGTGAGGTTATCGGAGGCCCAATCCTTCCCCTCCCCCAATCCCTCCTCAATCCCTAATCCCTAAAAGGTGGGTAACGCACTCGTAACTCCTCCGTTGCAGGTGTCCATGGGCCGCGCTGATTGCTTACCATCAGGTAATCCGTCTGCTCGTTTGCCGACCTACTACATAAAAAAAACTTATAACGTTCAGAATCTCAGGTCAAGCAGTTATCGTGTGTTTACATCAAACATTTTAGTTTTATTCCTAAATTTTTCATTAAATGTTTTAGAGTTATGGCTGCTTTTATGAGACTTATTGTAACCTCGTTTGAACTCATCCGGTCGCTGCCCACTTTGAGTAAATATTTTTACATTCACTGCAGTCCCAGATTCAGTAATTATGTCAGTGTGTGTTTTTTTTTTTTATTTCGACACATTTTTAATTAAATATAGTAGGTATAAGAAGGTATAGTTTTTAATAATATTATGTATATACCTATACTCGGAATTTTAATTCTATTCCAGATTTGACAATTTCAGTGTTGCAACGTTATGACACGTACAAAATAGTAACGTTGCGAAATTATTCGATATGGAAATCGAATATTTCTGACTCGATTCCTCTCGTTTATAAATTTACTCTCTTAAACTAAGTTTATCAGGAAATAAAATATTTCTGAACCGATAATTTAGTTTTGACGATTAATTAACGATCTGAGACTTTTCTTTTGTAATTGTGTGTGAAATTAATAAAAAATGTGATCATGAAGGAACATGAGAAATAAAACAGAAATTTTATAAATTGTCGCCGTCAGCGCTATCGCTAACGCTGTTACTTTCTGTAACATTTATTATGAATTGTGTTTGTGATTTTTATTGTCAATTAACATATCTAGCTTATTCATTTTTTCCTCTTCTTTGACAACATGGGATACGCATTTAGACCATTCGGTAGCCGTAATTTTTTGAATGCCTTCCTGAAACTGATTCACTGATTGTTTATCGCTTTTTGTGTTCATCACTACACTGTTATATGTGGTATCATTATTTCACAAAATGACAGTAGGTCATGTCAAATCAGGAATCGAATTTAAATTCTGACTATAGCGTATGTATTTTTAAAAGAAATTCGAAGGAAGAATACCTATTTTAAAAAACGAATGTTTTTTTTCTGGAAACTAGTATTTTCTCCTGCGTCGAGATTGTTTTTACAGACATACAATTTCACAATGTCTGTGTATCTTACAGGCTGATGATGATGAAAATCTTTAGAACTACGCAACTGATTTTGATTCGGTTTTTTTTAAAGATTGGTTGAGTGATTGAAGATGATTGTTTACATGTACATATAATAATATAATAACATCCAATAATAGTGGAGACATTTACTATAATCAATATACCCGTGCAAAGCCGGGGCGAGTCGCTAGTAATAGATAAATATCACACGGCGAAACACACGGCGTTGTGTTTCGCCGTGTGAGTGAGGTTACCGGAGGCCCAATCCTTCCCCTTCCCCAATCCCTCCTCAATCCCTAAATCTCCAAATCCCTAATCTCTTAAAGGTCGGCAACGTACTCGTAACTCCTCCGTTGCGAGTGTCCATGGGCGGCGCTGATTGCTTACCATCAGGTAATCCGTCTGCTCGTTTGCCGACCTATTACATATAAAAAAAAAAACAACACTACTTTTATTAATGGCATTTTTTACAAAGCGAAAATTTGTTGACATTTTATAAAAAATTTGCTAAATTAATCTGTGTTAGTTGAAAACAAATGACTATCATCAGTTATAGAAAATTATTTGTACTAATCTTGTAACACGATTTTAGTGTTTGTTTGTATGTGTGAATAAATTGCGAAACTACTGAACCAAAATGGAATATTCTTATATGATTGGGAATATTACTTTACAGGGGCTAGAGAAATAGCTTCACTAGAGGACAGACCGCAAGACAGAATTTTGATACTAAATTTCTCCACGATTTTTTCGGCATTCGGCAGAACCCAAGCAAACGCCGACGTTCGCGCACCTATGGTCCTTCATTATTATTTTCATTATTACAATTACTATTACAGATGGATTACTTGATGGTAAGCAATCAATGCTACCTATCAACACCACGCTGGAGTTACTAGTGCGTTGCCAACCTTTTCGGGATTAGGGTTATGAGGATTCAGGGATTGGGCCTCCGGTAACCTCACTTACACAGCGAAACACAATGCTGTGGTTGTTTACGCCGGTTTTCTGTGAGGCCGTGGTATTACTCCGGTCGAGCCGACCCATTCGTGCTGAAGCATAGCTCTCTCACAATGAACAGTTGATAACTTTTAATATTAGAACGTAATCCATGTCTATTTTACAGAAATCTTTTTAATTCCAGTCGAACGAATCCGTAGGTGGTAGATTAGTATGGACACACACACACACTAGGTATGTTTCACGCACACAACACAAGGTAAATGGTGGAATTTTTTGATATTACTTTGACGTGCCTACCGAGTCTACTTTTATAATTGCGTAAAGAGACGCGCGTTGAAAATGTGTTATTAAATTAATCTTTGACTAATTAGGATTAGGTTGGTAGGAAAAAATCTGCTGAATTTTTCACTGAAAAAAACGAATCATGAAATTTATCATGACGATTTGAGTCGTAGTTATATTTGAAGAATATTTTGATAAATTTATTTCGATACTAAATTGAGTTTGAGTCTTTTTTTATCAGCACAGACTCGAAGCGTACGCAGATACGTAAATATTAAAAATTACGTTTAATTAGCTAAGAGAGTTGTATATAGGCGTGATAATACTACTACAGAAAAAATCACATAAAAAAAGAAATTTCACAAAAATAAAAACTCACCTGTTGCTTTTCCAAGAGAAATATCTGGAATGGAACTTTCTAAAATAAATTCACGTTTTCACTAATAACACAAGATGGCACACAGTAACGACACACACAGTGAGGAGTTAAAAAGAAATGAAAACCTCCGTACTGAACCAGTCACACAAATTTCAGGGAAATTTTTAACAAAAATACACATCACTCAGTACAGAAATATGTTTTAAAATCACACATTTAAGGAATTCCCTTCGAATTCGTCACAAACAAAACAACACAACACACGAATATATTCGTCATTTTCGTAAATTTCGTCACTGGGTTAAAACTTTGATTTTTTTAGATGTACAGAGATTGAAATATAGAAATTTCTATTTATAATGATTTAAAAATGTATTCGTTTGGTCGATCGGAAGTTTTCGTTATAAATAAACTGCGCGTGTCGACGCACGCGCAAGCCGCCGTTGACCGTGCATTAGTGGTTAGTGGTGATCTCACGCGCCGCGCTCATGGAGTCGGTGCAACTATCGATTCTCCATCCAATCGCTGGAACTTCGAGGAATTTCACAATATGGAAGGGGAATCGGAAATAAGGAAGCGTGTTTTTTTAAAACTTTGAGTAATATTTGATGATCTTGTTTCAGCGAATTTGAATTTTTAAGGAAGGAGAATTAAGTATTTCCCTAAATGAAATATTACTGGTTTGTGTGTGTACTTTTTTTAACAATATACGATATGTTTTCGATACATAAAAAACTAAAAGCCATATCATTTATTTCAAATAGACCACTAAACACACAATTAAACGTCAAACGTAAAGTATCAGTCGGTCGCTCTGTCCTCTAGTAAAGCTATACTTTCTAGATAAACTAGCAAAAAAACTCAATGGATACAACTTTTTACTCAGTTTCCCGTTTCACTAAGGCATCCCGCTAGGAAGACTGACAACATCGTCAGAGTCGCGGGGAGCCAATGGATATAAGAGGACTAAGGGGAGGTCTTTGTTGAGCATTGGACGCCTTTCAGCTTATGACAATGATGATGATGATGATGATAATCATTAACTCGGCATAAAAATGATACTTAAGTACCATTTTACATACGACTCATTGCTGACAAAAAGGTCCTCTTGGCATCAAACGCAAAAGTTTTTTTTTATGTGATAGGTCGCCAAAGGAGCAGACGGATTACCTGATGGTAACCAATCACTGCCGCCCATGGACACTGGCAATGGAGGAGTTACGAGTGATTGCTGACCTTTTAGGGATTAGGGATTTGGAGATTTAGAGATTGGGGGAGGGAAAAGATTGGGCCTCCGTTAACCTCACTCACACGGCGAAACACAACGCTGTGGTTGTTTCACGCCGGTTTTCTGTGAGGCCGTGGTATTACTCCGGTCGAGCCGACCCATTCGTGCCGAAGCATGGCCCTGCCACACTTTAATAACTACACGACTACGATTTCGTTTTAGCTAAACTACAATTGTAATACAACAAAGTTGAGAAACACAAAATGCTATTTCAAATAACATTTAGTACAAAATTATCGATAAATACTCCAACACGAGGGCACAGCACGCGATACGCATGTACTGCCACGTTTGATTACCATACAACATGATTAACATCAAATAATGGTAATTGTACACTTTCAACTAATTACCTTTTAAGTTGTTATTAAGTAGTTACAACCTGTGGATTCAGTTGGTCTATATTTACTGCAACTAATATTTATTATGTATAAGTATATCGTGGGATAAGTGGAGAGAATTCTTCGGGTCGATCGAAGTTATACTACGGCCTCGATTACAACATTATAGGCACCTCTGAACGTCAAACAAAGATTTTAAGTGGATTTTAATATAAAAATGTCAGTCAGTCTGTCGGTCAGTCCTATTAGAAGTGTGGGAGAGCCATGCTTCGGCACGAATGGGTCGGCTCGACCGGAGTGATACCACGGCCTCACAGAAGACCGACGAGAAACAACCACAGCGTTGTGTTTCGCCGTGTGAGTGAGGTTACCGGAGGCCCAATCCTTCCCCGCCCCCAATCCCTCCTCAGTCCCTAAATCTCCAAAACCCTAATCCCTAAAAGGTCGGCAACACACTCGTAACTCCTCCGTTGCGGGTGTCCATGGGCGGCGCTGATTGCTTACCATCAGGTATTCCGTATGCTTGTTTGCCGACGAATTACATAAAAAAGTGAAGCTATTTGCTCGTTCCAAAGACAGAAACTTGAAGATGTAATGCAAGTACAGAGTACTAGCTACTCTCGCGTGATTTTACTCGCTGCTCGGCTCTATTTAATCGTAGCCTTTTTTAGCATACTAGATTCCGCCTGCGTGGTATTTTGATAAAAAATAGCCTATGACATATGTTGGACTGTATCCTATGCCTGTGCCAAATTTCATCCAGATCCGTCCAGCCGTTTTGGCGTGATTGAGTCACAAACATCCAAACATCGTAATTTTCGTATTTATAATATTAGTAAGATTACTAAAATAGTCAGAAGTAAGATAGCCTTCCTCGAGAAATAAAACGACTAACAATGAAAAATACAATTGCTCAATTCGAACAAGTGCTTCCGAGGAGTAGTGCTTTCAAAAAAAAATAACAAGCCAACTCTACAGTTTTATAATATTGGCTAGGCAACTGACTCCTTTGCAACGTGTCGCAGGTTTAATTCCAGCACGGAACAACACTGAAGTGTATGTGTGATCCACAATTGTTGTTTTGGGTGGGAGTACCTAGCTTATGTATATGAATTTGTTTGTTTGTTAATTAACCCACGACACATGAAAAAAATCTAGTGTAGGGCAAAGTAAAGGCAAAAAAAATAGCTTGACCACCAAGTTTAATGCCCAATAAATAATGAATAGTTGAAAACGAACGTTGGCAGGCAAAAAACGACTCATAATTTATAAGAACTCGCAATTAACATATTTTCATTTGTTTAAAGTATTTTGTCAGTTAGATTAACAATGCTAAAGTTATGTGTGTTCATAATTGCACGAACCTGTACTAGGTATTGCCAGTGGAAAAAAAGGAATGTTTATTTTTAATGCTGGTAACACCGTTCGATTTGAACGGTATGTAATGCGGTTTCCGATGGTGAAATGTGTAATATTTTTATTTATGATTAAATGTTCGATGACTAATGGGCAAATATTTTCGTATTTGAATTGAATTCATGTTGATAGACAGTTAGCAAAATTAACCAAGGTAAGTATATGAATACTGTAAACAAATATCTAGATAATATATTTATTTCAGGCCGTGTAGTTTAGGCCAAACAGTTTTTAGTAGATTCGAGTATAGTAAATTCCGGATTCCCAGTTCCTCTCGCTCCGCACCGCGCGCCCCGCGCGTTGCAAGCGCCAATCCGCCTTAAGCAAACGTGGTGATTAATGCTCAAAGCTTCTCCATATCAAAAAGGCTCTTTGAGATGGGGGAAAAGACTGGGTCTCCGGTAGCCTCACTCGCACGGTGAAACATAATACAAGTGTTGTTTCATTGTGTTGGTATTCTTTAAGGCCGGAGCCGTATTGTGTATCTCTACACGTAATCAGGCAATATGTCTGAATTTCTGCCGAAAAATGAATCTATGAAATACTTATAATATTTCCAAAAGCGACGACAAGTAAAGTCAACGCCATAAGACCGTTTAAACAACTCTTTAACGAGGTTGTTAAATTTAAACCATAAACCTGGTTCTATTTTTGTTGATGTTCTCGTAAAACTTAATAGTTAGCATGAATATTAACGTTATAACAACATCAGATGTATTAATTGAGATTATTATTTCAAATTTGTAAACAAAATTAATAATTTCTTCAATTTGGACCAGAGTACGTCATACTAAATCCTAGAGTCTAGTGCGAGCTTTTTTTATGGTAACGCGCTCAGAACGCTACCGCGTTTAGCTCTCTGATTGGTTGATTAACTTAGAGCTGGCCATTCTGGCCAATAAGAGTGTCGAACGTCATAAATCGATCGTGATAAAGTAAAGTAAGCATTATGTTTCCATGTTTTGTTTATTTTTTCGTACGGTTATTTTTTGCATGTGAACTCTCTATTTGGCGAAATAAACTGTTTTTCTATCTTCTTTCTTTCTTTCTATTTCTAAATCAGTGAAGGTTGGAGATAATGGTGAAGATTAAACAGCAACTGCTGTATAAGCCGCGTAGTTTCGATAGAGAGTAACTGCTGAACATCATATTAAGGAACCAATGATCTGAAAAAACGAGGAAGTTGGTTTTGGTGTTTTTGTAATGTTAAGCACTTGCCTTGTAGGAATGACAGAAAGGTGACATAACACCACCGGTGATGGCAATAGCTTAATTCAACCGTAAAAACAAATAAGGGTTTATACCTATAACATAGCCTGAGGAGCAGCGCTCTCTAGTATACCTCCACCTTATAAAGCACAATCTACGGCTTAAGTTAAATGTATTAATTAGTAAAGTAATTAGACCAGTAAATACCCAAAATATGACCAGTGAAAGTCTAGCAGTGATTTTTAACTGGTAGATATTTCGTTTTTGGTTGTGTTGCTATAAAAGTTTCTATCAAGAAGACTTTGTAGTTAATACGGTCACGGGGACCGATTTTTGTTCTTCAAAAATAGAGGCAAAATGCAATGGTATACTTCCTTCTTTATGACTAGAAAAAAGCCTTTTTTGTAACATTGGAACATTAAAATTAAATCAAGGATACCTTACTCACCACGCTCTGGATGAGTTAGAATGGGTCAGAGTTTAACAGACTAAAATCCATTCCAACTGTATTGTGCAAGTCTCCCGTGACCTTGGCTAGCGAATAAGCGAATAGCGAAAGTACATAGATTGAATTGAAATATTTGTTTTAAATTGGCTTAACCGAGATGTCTTCAAGGCACGAGTGAATAGGTTGCTTATGAGCAGGCGTGCTTCATCGCAGGTCGCATCATCATTTAGCGCCAGGCGAGATAGAGATAGCAATAAAAGCAATTTAGTCCTATGGCTATAAACAAACCTCTTTCCTTACCTATCAAACTCTTTGCCACAAAGACGGCCAGTTCATCTGTCACATATTTGAAAACGAAGTTCTTTTTGGCACCAATCAAAAGTGTAATATCAAAAAATTCAGCAAAAAAATTACAAAACAAAATTCACAGTGATATAACATTTAAATTTAATATACAGTTACAAATATTTCATAACACGTGAGTCCATATTACTTGTAATATTTAAATTAGAATGTTCATAGTTTGGGTAGTTTAAAGAATTTGACCCAAATCCTTACACTATAAGGAGCTCAAAGCTCCTAACGATTATCAGGACGTATTTTTGTAACTAAATAACTCAACTCCCAATGCAGAAAAACTACCGGTCAATATCGTAATCAGAGTGATAATAATCGTACAAAGCGCCATCTACCACCCGTTGCAAAACTCACGAGATATGGTTATCTATGAGAGGAGCGAAGTCTTTTTTAATTAAGATCTAGTTTATTTATTATCAAATGAGTAGGTAGGGTGATAACTAAACAAGGTAAGTTGCGTTATTGTTTAAGAAACTCATGATTGCATCTGTATTTAAAATGTTTTGGTTTCCCGGGTGTGTCCATGGGTGCTGATCACTATCCGGTGATTGGTCAAGCATGTTTGCCTGCTATTCCATAAAATCATGATTTGAAATGTTAATTGCTTTGTGCAAGAAAATTTTCTTTGTTAAAATGTAAGTCACCAGAGCAAACACTTTCTACGAGTTAAATATTTTACTCATCAATGTAACCTACATTTGCTTACTACTCAACGATTACCTTTGATCGACCAAGGACTCAAAATAAAAATTGGAAACATTCTGCAAGAAGCGACCAATTAATTATGTAAGATTATATTTCAAGGTCATTCATGTCTTCACCCGTGTTTTATCCGCTGTAAGGCCTAGACATGGCCGCTCATAATTGCAGGATGTTCTTCGCTGCAGACACGATGATGCAGTAGACCATGGGCATCCCGAGAGCTGTGCTGATGCTCCTTGCTGGGATCTTCTCTCTCTTTGGACTGGTTAGCGCGAGTACGAGAAACGTTTTAGTCGCCTGCAGAAATACGGCGTCCTGCAGCAAGTGACTACGGTAAGAATAATTGAGAGTTCCTCTACTGCTATCGTTTATAGTTTAGTCACTATATCTATATCTTTATCTAAAGCTAAGGCCTATCCCACACTTAGCCGGGGCTGCGGGTCAAGCGCAATAAGAGGTCAGTAGTCTTAGGGGCGGTATCGCTCCCTCGGCCTAGAGCAGGTAAAGGAAAAAAACACATGTAAGTAAGTGTAAGTGTGGGTGAGCCAAGCTTTGGCACGAATGGGTCGGCTCGACCGGAGTGATACCACGGCCTCACAGAATACCGGCGCGAAACAACCACAGCGTTGTGTTTCGCCGTGTGAGTGAGGTTACCGGAGGCCCAAACCCGCCTCTTCCCCTATCCCTTCCCGACCCTTATATCCGCAATCCCTATCCTCAAAAGGCCGGCAACGCACTCGTAACTCCTTTGGTGTTGCTGGTGTCCATGGGCGGCGCCAATTGCTTATCATCAGGTAATCCATCTGCTCGTTTGCCGACTTATGCCATAAAAAAAGTAAGTGTGACACTCCCTCTGTTCATACCCTAGGTGAGAGAAATCATTTGATGTTCCCTCCTAAAAAGAGGCAAGTCACACTACGATTTCCTCGCCGAATGAGTGCTTTCACAAATGCATAATCTTGATCACCATATTCTTTGGAGGTTATTATTAACGATTCCGTGTATTTCTACATTATCTTCGTGTCTGATATTTATTATCCTATTTTTCGCTAAATCTAACTGTTATCTGATTACTATTCTCAAAACTGTGTTTAGATCATCTTTTTCCAAACTCCCTTATTGCTCTTGAAGTTTCTTGGTATAAAACTCTTAACGCTTTATCACAACAACGATTGTTTTCAATACAACATAAAACAACAAAGTATTGAAATCAACTTAAACAAAATGTTCCCGCAATAATAAATTTCAATGTTTTCAACCTTGATCCAATATTTTCGACGACCTCGTCTTTCTAATATCATCACTGGTATCCCGTTTATATTTTTCAGTGAGCCGTTTTCAAAGCGTGTAATTAGTCCAGGCCATATGATGAATACCAATCATTTGCGTTTGATTCAGCCGGCTTGTTTATTTTAGGCGCCCGCGCAACAAGCCAGCCGTTGACATGCGCTTGTAAAGTTGATAACAAAGGGCTTTAATAGCCGTCAGTCTGTCTTGTTGCCCAATATCGAAACGTTGTTTGGTTGTTCTAGTTTTAAGATCTGCATTTTCTTTGGAAGCTGTGGAATTTTTCCTACCTACTTAATTTTTTTATTTATTAACGATGTTCATTGCATATTTAATTGAATATTGGATTTAGATTGTCTTTACACAGACATGAATAATTCTTAGATTTGTAGTAATTAGGTCTAGTTTTTGAATCACTCACTTCTTTAAAATCTGTATCTAATGACAGCTGTTTATTTCATCGGCATAATTTCAAAATCCACATTGTGCAATACACATTTCTTGAAATAAAACTAGAATTTCTTTGCTTCAGTACCTGACAATGGCCGAATCTGCATTGCATCGCCTGTATATGATTTTATTGGCAATATTTTCGATACTAATCGTTAGCGCTTCGTGTTGCAAGAAGAAAATTCCCTGCACTGGACGAGCTCCTTGCAGACGAGGACCCTACAGACACTAATGACTCTACAAGCATTGAGTTTGAAAAAAGTGGCAGAAAGTGCGCAAGACCGAAATGTATACACGTTTTGGAAATTTATGGGTAGCAGACAGCTGGGACAGCTTCTACTGCTGGAGACAGTTCAGAAGTATGGAGAAAGTTGACAGCAATATTGACGTGTGGCAGACTCGACAGCTTGCTGAAATCGAACAAAAATTGTTTGGGAACCCAGCGATACGACCTATGCACTTTGAAACGATGTTTAAAATCCTGCAGTAACCAATATATACATCGCCGAAACTTGGTAAACATGTCCAAACAAATTGAGCGCTCTTGACAGAGTTTTCTTTATCTATTTATTTATTGATTGTGTAGTACATATTTCCGTTGCAAACGTAAAGTATTGATTTGGGTCAAATTCCACCTTCTGTATGTATCAGTAATTACCATTCTAGTTAACCAGTAGAGCTCTTGTATTAACTAGTTAGTTTGTTTATATGTTTCGGTGGAAAGACTCAAATCGATTCTTTTTCGTTCGCAGACGGAAGATGGACTCGTGCAATGCAATGGCGAATAATATTAAATAGTATAGAAGTAAGTCTACGCCCCTTCATATGTATGTTGTAAGTACGAATTTTAAAATATCCGATCCTGATTCTTACTGACTTGAGTTAGGTATCACATTCATTAGAACATCGTCTAAAACATTAATGAAACTGACATCATCTGCACCAATAAGGTGAAAAATTTGTAGTTCTAGCTTCTTCTGTCTTCTGTCAGAAGCTTCACCTGCGTCACCTGGTTGTTAAGCTTGTGTATGATTACAGACTAAAATATCTGAGCCCTTTTCATGAATATCTGTTTTTACCTGAAAGAGTAACAAACATCCATCCTTACCTTACAAATTTTCTCTTTTGTAATATTAATTGGATTTTTTTTGTAAAAAACGTTCCCCCACGCTACGATTTTCTTTTGTGTCAAGTGTGCGCGTTTACAAACATACAATTTCACATACACAGCACACCCAAATCCGGCACACATTTGTGGATCACACAAAAAGTTCTTCCACGCGGGAATCAAACCCGGGGAGCCCATACGATTAATAAATTGTATGATGTTGCTGATTGCAGCGTATATGATGTCAAATCACTGGGAGAATCTACTGATCATCTTTTGCCTGTTGGCCACGTGGATCCTTGAAGTAACCTGTTGCGGTCAGAAACGTATTACCTGCACTCCTAACAACCCACCCTGCAAAAGATAATTGGTAACTTTTTAACGATATCGTCATTATCATCATCTTCTTCTTAAGGTTAATTGTACCGAAATCAAAATTTATTTCATCTATTTTCATCAAGGTCATCTACAAAGTCTTTGTTGAACTTGTTAGAGTTTTGAAATATCGGAATTGCAAAAATATTATATCATATATCACCTCATCATCCTACGAGTCTAAAAATATATTTTTGCTGTCGTTTTATATGTACCTACATATATTAACTTACATATCTCGAAGGCATTAAAGAATCAATGTGAATCGCTCTTTCATGGAAAATGGTATGTCCCGGTGATTTTCCTGTAATAAAAGTTGTTTAGAATTCTTGTGCTCAGTTCGCCGGTGCGACGTGCGATAGTTATAGGATTCATTCAAGTAGCGCCATCTCTCGGCACGCTATTAAACTTCTTCTACTTATAGCGTGTGCCATGAGCAATGGCTACTACAATTAAATACTTATATTAGATCTGTACAAGGTAAAATTTTTTTCTCATTATTTCACTTTCATTTTGATAGCAATATTAATATTCGACAATTAAGATATTTTTGAAAAAAATCATATAAAAATGCGGATTACTCTTAACACCAGTCCAGTTTAAAAACGAATCGTTGTTCCAGGTTCTTGGGTTCCAGGCAATGGACAAAGCTTTCCTCCAAGAAGTGGTGATACTGCTGGTTACTCTTCTGCTTTCATACCTGGAAACCTGCCTCGGGTGCTTTCCACTGGAGTATTTTACTGCGACGAGGACAGCCTAGTGCACAAGTAATGCCCGGTTCCTATATTTAACGAATCGTCATTGTATACGCATTACGACCAAATGACATTACGAATAGTTATCTTGACCGTCTACTGACGGTTAAAATATTTATAGGAACACCACAGACACCATAGATCTCCATACAATTCGCTTACCGATATCCGTTAGTTGCAAACCTTACGAGTCGTATATAAAACTACTATTCGTCATTAAAACGGATCGTTTCTCAATTATAGGAACCGGGCGTAAATCTTCTTCTATAGTTATTTGGATGTGAGGGTCTTTACCATCAATTAGCTTGAGGAGCTCTTCTGCTATAGTTATTTGGATGTGAGGGTCTTTACCATCAATTAGCTTGAGGAGCAATCTTGAGATGGCCGTATAGATGGTTCTAAGTTAGCTTAGTTCTTATGATAGTTATCTAAAGGTTAATATTTCCATAAACTTTTCTTTACCTTATATCAGAATCTTGCTGTGATTACTGTCTGTATGATTTTTATAAAATAATTTATAAACGAATATTGTATTTCTAATTTAATGTTGTTTCGGAGCGTTCGAGTCGGTTTTATTTGCTAAAAATATTAAAAACGAAATATTCCGATGTGATTTAATGTCTAAGGAATTGTTGGGATGAAAAGAAACCTCTTATTCAGTAGTGGACGCTATTCATCATCATGATGATATTTCTTTTTGTTCCAGGTATCAGTGATAATGGTGCTATTTAACGAATTTTTCCTTGTATTCATACATATCGCACTGTCAGTATTGGAAGTCACTCAGGGTTGCAAACGCCGAAGGTCTTTGTGTAACGACCACACCTGCCGGCCCTGCCATAGGCCTAAACCTGATCTCGGATATAAACATAGCTCTGTCAGGGTGATCATACCGAAGGTAAGACAATTAAATCCAGTAAGGTCTTTTAGCCTAAAAGGCTTGCAGACCAAATCTTCTCACACGGAGAAGGTTTGAGCATTAATCATTCAATGATATCAAATTTCATAATTATCATCATCAGCCTGTTTTCGCAAACTAATGGTACAATGAGCACGCCACTGAGCTCGATTTTCAGCTCTTCTCATCCAACTACTGCCAGCGTAGTGTCAGTCACCACGGACGCCTTACACTACATACCTGTCTTGATATTATGAATTTTAAGTCCAGGTTTTCTCACTATATTTTTCTTCACCGTATGATAGTCTTGTCTAAATAACACAAACATATAATTTGGAATGAGTCATTTTGGATCTCACCAGACTTTAAACCCGCATCCTCAAACATAAGAAGTGGTTGCCTTAAACTCCGGGCTACCATGACAACGGTACCAAGTAATTCAACGTTTCATGTTTTTGAGAGTCAGAGGTCTGACTCTCTACCTGACTGACCTATTAAATTGTTTTAATATTTCCAGTAACTATGTGCAAGCGTATTTTCTTCCTGTTCCTGTATGTGGCCATGATTCTTGGCAACGTGTTGGCCTGCAGGAATCATCATATGAGGAGCGATAAAGTTTGCTGTCGCAGGGTAAGAGTCAATCTCTTTTAAAGAATACTTGGCAAATATGATTTGTCCTTGATGCTGCAATGTTAGACCATCGTGCATGCATGTTTTATGACATAGGTCGGCAAACGAACAGACGGATTGCCTGGTGGAAGCAATGAGCGCCGCCCATGGGCACATGCAATACCAAACTCGATGCCAGTCTTTGCGGGGGTTAGGGATTTGAGAATTGGGGATTCGAGGATTGAAGATGGGGGAAGGGAACGATTAGACTTCCGGTTACCTCACTCCCATAGTAAAGCTGTAGTTGTTTCACGGCTCGTGACGAAGCATGGAGAGCTATGCTTCATGCTGTGTCTAGTTAACTATCAGTTAACTGTACGATAGCAATACGATACGATTACTATACGATAGTTGGCAAAATCATTAGTGCTTGCGATTTTTAGTTCCTTTTACGCACGGTAGGGGCGCTGTACAAATCCCATAGAAAATGCTTTCGATGTCGATACGAATACTTTCTCGATAATGTTCGTGCTAGGCATGCTGCTTAACGTTAACTGCTGGCCTATGATCTTCTTTTACTTTATTCCCTAAATATCCACGTGATTACGATATGAAGTGGTTGAGGTTCGTAAGTCGCTGTTACCATGTCTTTATCAAATGTGTTTCCTTAGCTTGTTATACAAGGCCAGCTGAAGAGCAAGGTTGAGGAAATGAGGATTCCACTTCATCGTCACCTCAAAGCAAAAAAAACAAAGATACTAAAGTTTTAATATATGTTTTCAGCCTGGTTCCTTTCCAAATCCCAAGCCACCTCATAAATGAGGCAAAAGAAACTTGAAAATGTGCTAAGAATTGTAGTGCAACTAAACGCAGTTTACTCGCCTCTGTTGTATGCACCAGTTGATCGCCTCTTTTTACTTCCCTTGCACAAGAATAGTCTTTAAAGTTCTTCAACCAAAGCCGGTTTGTATTTATTTTTGTTTTACAAAGATAGTTAATGTTTTTCGCCGACAAACTAGCTGACGGATTACCTGATAGTAAGCACTCAGCGCTGCCCTTGAACACCAGCAACTTCGAAGGAGTTACGGGTGCGTTGCCGGCCTTTTGGGGATAAGGGATTCGGATATTCAAGGATTGGAAAGAGATGGGGAAAAGAGGAGGGATTGGGCTTCCGGTAACGTCACTCACACGGCGAAACACAACGCTGTGGTTATTTCACACCGGTTTTTTGTGAGGCTTTGGGTAGGTATCACTCCGGTGGAGCTGACCCATTAATGAAACGTCAAAAACATTTTTATTGTGAATTTTGTTTAAAATACCACGTTGTTTCATCATATTTTTTACGTCAAATGGGATATTTAATGCTCCTGGATCGCCTAAAAAGTACATAAATAACATATTATGTTTCTCAAGATGTTCTAGGATGAGATTTGCCAAGGCGTGCGTACTGCTGCTGCAGCTGGGCGCCGTGATAATCGCCTACATCCGAAGACACAAGCCTATCTCCGAACTGCCCCGTAACTACAACGCAAATGATATTGAAGTTATATATACAAAGGTGACTAGCACTAGGTATATCATTTACCATTTGAACCTAGTCTGAGTTTTTTTTACGTGAGCACAATAGACGTATTTCTGACGTTCTGCGCTCTGATTGGTCAGCTCTGAGTTATTTAACCAATCACAAAGCTACGCGTGGTGTCTTTGTTTTTTAATGTAAACGAGCAGACGGATTGCCTGATGGCAAGCATGCGGTGCCGTTTATAGACATCCGCAACACCAAATATGGAGTTACAAGTGCGCATTAAGGGGATAAGGGTTTCGATTATTTAAGGAGGGAGAGTAGGGGGAATTTAGCTTCGTAACCTCACTCACACAACGAAACGCTGTTGTTGTTTCACGCCGGTGTTCTGTGAGGCCGTGGTTTCACAGTCGATCCGACTCATTCGTGCCAAAGCATGGAGTTATAATAGCCTGAGGCTAAGGAGACCCGATCCATCCCATTCCCAAACCCACAAAATCCCAAAGGCTTTAACGCACTCGACGCAATTTTGCGTCTATTATGTCCATGTGCGGCACCGATTGCTTGTCACCAGGCGATCAATATAATCTTATTTTTTTTATGAAAAATGAGAAGGAACGCAAGCTCAGCTTTTTTAATGTTTAGAAACACAATAATTGCTGCAGAGTGTTGTTGACTGTCATGGTGTCGAGGTTAAGGCGCCCGCTTCTCATGCATAAGGGTGTGGGTTCGAAACCTAGCAAGTACCAATGTGACTTTTGCCGAGTTTTATGTACTTTCTATGATTATTTAGACACCACTGACATATAATGACATATAAATTTTTAATTATAAGTTTGATATCACTAATCTGCCTTCTATCCATGTGTTCAAAGAAGGCCTTTAATCAGTAGTAGGTCTACTCCAGCTGATGATCAATTATTCTAATCTTTCAGAAATTATAATGACAACCGTTTCACCCAAGTCGCAAGACGTCAAACAAAATCAATGGTTTGTAAATAACAAAAATATAGTTAACGAATATTGTAACTAAATGTTAATTATTTATGTAACTTTATACAAAAGAAATTACTTTTTGAATATGAACGCGTTTTATTTGAAAGAAAAAATTCTTTAATTACAACACTTACACTACATGATTTTATTTTGAAGGATAGATATTTTCAAGGAGTAAAGTCTACATTTATTTTATGGCCATGCAAACTAAACTTGTATACGAAATTTCAGCTTAATCAGTAGAAGATATCTGCTGCAAAATTGAGTTGCAAAATTCCAAATTTACAAACACGTCACATACATTGCAAATTAAATGCTATTAAATAAAGGCTTCTGAAAAATGAGGGCTTACGATTTTGTGCTTGAGATGGTGCTAGTGGCTAAAAGGCGGTTAATTTTTTGCTATTAACGAGTTTGTTTAATTCTAGCTACTCTCTCGTGGTTTCGCCGGCTGCTCGGCTCCATTTAATCGTAGCGTAATTTTTTATAGCATATAGCACTCAGGAACATTGTAGCTATCTGTCAGCGAAAGAATTATGGCAATCCGACCAGCGGTTCCAAAGATTACCCCCTACATACAAACTTACAAACATACAAAAATATAAATTTTACCTCTTTATAGTATAGAAGTTATAGTATGTTATAGTATAGAAGTACCTATAGATTAATGAACATAAAAGGTTTTAAATTAGATGTGAGAAAAGCTCTTCAAGGCACACTGACTCACAGACTGAGCCGTTTGCACGACGTCGCCACCGCTTGCGCACGCTACTTTCTTAAGAGCCCCCTGGTGACATGAAACTAGTAGAGCTTTTCTCAATCAATAACCGTACGTATTATTAAAAAAACATCTCACGACATTTTTGTACTATAAGTAAAATTAAATGTAAATAAAAAATCTATTACATATAAAAGGTTTTATTATCTATCAGAAACTTACATAGTCAATACATTTTAACACTATTTAACAATAATCTTACCGTTCAAATCACGGTTAACCAGTTAACTAAAGGGTTAACTAAACGAAGACTGTACTTACGGAAGATTTGTTTATACCGGCCAATCTCAAAGGCGTACGCTTAACTGTAGATTTGCGTATTAGCTTAGAATAATAATAATTACACTATTGTTTTTCTCAGTTATTATTCAAAGCGTATTAGATAAATAATTTTATCCTTTTGTTTAGAGCGTAGGGTGTATGTCATTTTAGCCGGCTCGTTATCAAACTGCTCGTAGCGTGATTTTGTCTACCCAATAGCTTCCTCGATAATTATTTTAAAATTCGAACCAATAGTTTAGCTTGAAAACATAATGTTTCAGTATTTAGTCGTTTCTAGAAATTTAATGATTAGGTACCGAAACAATTCGTTATTACAGATTTTTTCCGAAGATAATTAATAACCCAATAACTATTTTTATATGAGTTCTATGTAAATCTACCGATATATAAGTCATTGATACTGGCCGTTACTGGACTAAAAAATAAAAAATTGGACGAAATAAAAAATTGGCTTCAAATGGCCAGAGAAAAAAGTGACACTTGGAAATTATACTTTTATTAGTTTTTATGCTCATTTATTTGTACAATTGAAATAAGGAGGTAATCGAAAAAAAATAGAAGGTTTTTTTTGGTATGATTTCCAATGGAAAGAAAATAGAAAAACCATTTTTGTGTAAAAGAAAATCAAGAACATAAAATAAGAACAAATAAAGGTTAAATAATGCCATTTTTATTTACATTATAAAATACAATCAAATAAACATATTTCTAGCTTTAATATCGTAGGAAACAAACTTCTCCAATTAAACAAAAACAACTTACATTTAGTGAAAATTACATTTCTACCAATTTTGTTTTTTTTTTTTTTTCCGTGTAGCAACACTTGAGCTACGTTCTAGTATTACTAGTATACTAATAAGGAAATTGTTTATACTATTTTCATGCATGGTAATTTTGAAAATTTGCTTATTGGATAGTTTTTATAATTTTATTGATATTTAGTTATAGTAATTCAGGCCAAAATTTATCTGTACAACTATATTATTGGAAGATTTCTCGGTCGTTTTTATATTCGAAATGTCTCAGGTCCGATTCCAAACTTATGTAAGTTTTATATAATATAATTAACTCCCTATTTTAAGTAGAAAACGATATCTAAATTGACTTTCATAATCTGAGAATGACTTAAGGTCAAATTAGCACGTGCTTAGGCTAGTCTTGTCTCTGTCTCACACATACAGTTGTGAGAAGGACAGAGATAGTACTCAAGGACGTGTTAATGCAACTTCAACCTTATGAGCGATTTAATAGAGACGTGGATTAGATGTTTTTGTCAGTGCGTGATCATTTCTTCACACTTCAATTCACTATCTAGTATGAGCTAGTCTTATATATTTTTTTATATACAGGGTGTTTTTTTAGTTATGATAGTTACTAAGATGATATTATTGTATGGATAACAATACTGTAACACACTTGCAATGAAAGAATTAAACAGAAGATGAATCAAATATATGAAAAATCTTCTTGGAAAAATCACCCTGTGTATGAATGTTACTGAAAACAAGTATTCAACAGTGCATAGTTAAGTCTTTTCAATTTTAACGTACAATCCTTTGCTTCAAGGTCGTTGACCTGACTGACTGACTGTATATCATAACTATAGGATACCGTCTTCGTGTTTGAACTCACTGATAGAGGGCGCTAGTGAGATCTTAGGTCCAGTCCAGTCCCCTTGACCCGGATAGACCGCTAATGATATTAGTCACGGCCAACCAAGAGAAATTTAATCTCTTACACAAAACATCTCCGAAGCAAAGAAGATGTAAAAAAATATATAACAAGATCCAGGGTTGCGGTTCAAACGCAATAAGGTAACGGGGCCTCGGCGTGGAGCAGGAACGGTGAGGTTTTTAGTCAGTAAGAGTCAGACACTCTAGAATTTCGACTACAAGCCATCAGGCCACACCCAATGGGTCATTGAACCTTTAATACGTACACTGCTATAATAATCACCAACGCCATCTAGTGAGAACAAACCGAAAACTGTTGACTAACGTATTTTTATATTACACGTTGGAGTAGGCAAATGTGTACATTTTACAGATACATAAAATTCTGGTTATAATTTCATAAGACTATAGGTTTGTCAACTCCTTGTACCAATTTTTCTTAGCGCAGTTACATGTACACCCCTGCCTACCCCACTTAAGTATGTCAGGGATATTATTACAAGTAATAAATGCCATTATTGGACGTCAATAGACAAATAGGACAAAAAAAGCAACTTGAAAACGGTGCCTTTAAACGAATTTGCACCTTATGGCCAATAGTATGAAGACCTAATGTCCTCAAAACATAAAGAGCCTAGATTGCTACATCTATCGTCGACGTTATTTACATGTTTTTGTAAAAGCAACCTTATTGGCTAAACTTTAAGATCGTTTTTACCATGCCGACTTACCGTAACAGTAAATACAAATACTCTGGAAGTATAAATTGGACCATCACCAAAAACCCACATTAAATATGGTATATGGTACTTTTCAAACATTTGCAATGGCAACCCTGATTTTAGTAGAAATCTCAATTTTGGTAGTTTTGAAAAACATTAATTTTAAATGAAAACATTTATTTGACAACTATACAAGGGGGGAATGTGGGAACTTTTACATATTTCTTACTTTGTTTAGTTTAACATACAAACGTACATACGAAAATTTATTTACATACATATATATTGCGATAATTTATCTGTTGTACAAGCCACTTTGGTTAAAATTGGACCAAAACTGTGAAACATATTTTCCTATTCGAACTCGTTTATTCTTGTTCAACAAATTCAAATACAGATTTAAAATGCTTAAATGGACTTGGTCTTAGGTGGAATTTTAACCAAAATGACGGTAGTAAACAAATCAATTAAAAATTTTAACATTGCTAATTTATTAACATTGGTCTTACAAGTCTCCCTATAATAATGTCTTCAATAAATAACATAATCTTGCATAACTTTATGGCTTTTTATTAAACAAACAATTCATAGCTTTTTCTAGGGACTGTAAAACCGCATTGTAGAATTTATATATATCCTTTCTCTCTCGCTCCAATTTAAAACTACTCGTACGGAAGAGAGACGGAAATATTCAAAGCGGTCTTTTCATGTTATTGAGAATAGGGTTGTAAACAACTTTATAAAACTAAGTACTTTTTTATTATAACAACGCCTTTAATGTGCGTTTTATCAGTTACGTTATTAATCTCATTCTCTAACTGACAATTTCCAAGTCCAAAACCCCCAATAATACTTTGACTAGCAATGCCGTCAAAGATCTATTATTTAATAATTTAACCAACATTTTTATCAGCAACAATTTTATATTTATAATACACTTTTTGAATTACATTTTAACGCCACTTAGGCGCTTGTGTAGCTTAAAGTCTGATCAGGCTCAAAGCTACACTAGCGCCGCCAAAAGAGCACTAATCAGTAAAGAAACACTATTTGAAGTTCGGTACAAATTGAGAGTTCATGTAAAAGTGTATCCACGGCTTAGTAATGCCCGTACAAATGCTATAGTAACGCTCTGATTTCCTTGTGGATGTGGCAGAGGTAGTCCACGTATGAGGAGCTTCCGTCTACGCCGCGGTCCTCGACAAGGAAGTGACGCAGTACAGTCTCCAATTTGTCGTGTTGTCGCATCGTTGTTAGCTGTAACAAGTCCTAATTGCTTAGAAAATCTTTTCTCTTAACTTCTTTTCGTCATAGGAGGTTCGTTGATTACAAACAAGATGGTTTGGTTTACAATAATATATGATTACCTAACCAAATGCTTCCTATATCGCACATTTTGCACAATTAAAGTTCCTATAGCAATCATTGGTCATGTCCTTTTCACATGTAATTCAGTTAATAGTAATAAAACATTATATTCCTGAATTCCACTTAGCATTAAAAGTCGCTGAAAAGTATAATAGTTAGAAAAAACTTGTTAGAGGGATGGGGGTCTTGTTTTTGTCTCCTCTAAGAGATTATTTAAATATAAAGAGTTGTCTTCTTAAATGTAATGCATTTGGAATTGTGAATGATTTAAGTATTAGCATTATGTAATGTGCTTTGAATGTCTTTGTGTATTAAAACGATAGGTATGTGTTACGTCCATATAAAATATTGTAATAAGTGTTTTACACATACAATAATTTGATGTAATTATAATTATACTAATTTCGTCACCATAAACATACACAAATATAATACATGACAGTGTAAGGTCAGATAAGTAATGAAGATAATTTATGTAAAGAGATTAAACATTGAAAATGAGAAATATATAAAACCGAAACGAATAAAATAACGGATAATTCCGGCAAATATGAAAAAAGCGTCACACAGAAAACCAGCTTGTCACCGAAAATCTCCATCCAAATCGAGATTTGAGTAATGAATAGAGATTCTTAAGGCATGCAAGACCTAGAGCATTCAAATCAATCAATCATCAATGGCAATGAAATTGAAAGTCAAATCTGTTTAACGTCAAATAGTGAAGATGGTCTAGCAAAAAAAGGTTGGCAACATCGTTGTCTCAATCTTAGTGTTGCTAACTTAATGCCAAGGACAAAACACCATGATTCTTATTATGGTTGGAAGTATTTTCCATGCTTTAATGGACCCCTATAACTTTCAATTCCAAGCCATGCCCACCAAAGCTTCTCAATCGCCCAAAAAGACCCCAAAATAGCCAGAAAACTGCCCAAAAATAGTCTCAGACTGGCAAAAACGCCCAGAAATTTCCAGAACCCATTGAAACGTACAGCATTTTCTGCACAGTTTTGTGCACAGACATGAGGTACTCCAGGTAGCCGTCGGAGCCATCCAACCCTCGGTCCTCGACCAGTAGACGTCGCGCTAGTGGGGCAGCTGACGCCTGATGCACTATCGTCAGCTGGGTGCCAAGAAAAGAAGGTAGATGCCATGCACACATGCCAGGTCTATAAGCTTTGAGAGCCGAGAGCCTTGTCCGCGTATTGGCTACTTATCTTTCTGATTGTAAAGTCAACAACAAGATTGGAAGTTTAATTGATTTAGGGCTGGTTTTTCAATAGTCAGATAAATGTTATCTGAGGAATAAAATTGTTGCTGTCACTGTCCTATACAAACATTCTGATGCGACAGCATCATAATTATTCCCCATGTAACTTTTATCTAACAATTTAAAAATCAGCCCTTAGTTGTTTTTTGTATTGGAAAATAGTTACTGAAAACTCTCCGAACCAAACAGGCGATCAAACTATAGCTATTAATGTAATATACTTATTTTTTGTACCTTAAGTAACCAAGGTTTTTAATCAATTTTTTCCTGTACTTTTCATTAATTACTGTTGACTTTACAATACAGAACAAAGCAGTTAACCATAAAATACGGATACTAGAATGTTTAACAATTGTAACTCAAATACACTAGTATCAGTATCGTCAGGCATGTCGACCAGAGCAAATAAAAAAATAGCAAAAAAAGATAGATCACCATCTACTCTACTAAAACTACAAATACTTGAAGATAAAAGAAAATGTCTATCAACACATGCAGAGCATTCAGTAGGAAAATCACTTAAAAAAAAGGTCTGTGTTGTTGTTGTATTAAATATAGAATTGTGTGTTGTATTTACAAAGACCAAGTTACTGTATTCTATTGTATAATCCATTTTGTATAGAGTAACTTCTGGTGGGGTGTTTTTGTGTTCATTTTCATGATATTTACAATGTATTTAATAGATAAAAAAGAAATTGCCATTGCTGTATCATATAAATGAATAATGTTCATTCAGCTCCTATACTCGTACAGTTTCGAGCTCAAACCGGAGTCTATAGCCACACTCGAAATTAGTCGAGCATTTATAAATAATGTTTTTTTTAAATACTTTTTTATACAACAAGTTGCGCTTAAAGGTAGGTAGGGACTGCAAAAAGAAGAGTATTAAAACAAGATCTTATTTTGAAAATTAGACTCACCCTCATAGCGGTTCGTCGTTTGATGCGCGTGTCCTCGATGAGTTCGCGGACGCTGGCGTTGGCGCGCGTGTCCAGGACGGGCAGCTCGCATACTTGCGTGTCGATCTGTTGCGGGGACGGGACGCCGAATACGTCGCGGATAAACTCAGGGTTCGCATTCGATCCTACCCATAGGAGCATGTGGACGCCGTTTTCTGTCATTTGGAAAAATAATGCATAGTTTAATGTAAGAGTTCATTTATGAGTGGTAATTAAATAATGATGAAAATATTTTTAATTAAGTTTTCAGAAGTGGGATTATAGTAAGAGGGTCAGTAACACGTGAAAGTCTGAATTTAGCGCTATAGAACTAATATTTTGTAACATAAATTGAATGTAAAATGGATATAAGATAGTGTAGAAGGGTGACATAATTATATTATTAGCTGGAAGTATGACTTACCGAGTAAATAGACGCCGTGGTCGTTCATCTTGTCGACGGAGGCCCGGAGCGGCTGCAGCGCGGCGGCGGGCTGGTCCTGCAGGCGATGCAGCGGCAGCAGGCGCGGGTAGGTGTAGACGACGGAGGCGGGCACGTCGGCGGCCAGCGCGCGGAACATGGCGGCGGCGCGGTCGTCGCACGACAGGTCGGGCCCGCCCGCCACCGCGTCGCCGCGCAACACGCAGTTGCAGTACAGCGGCAGCAGCTTCATGGGCTCCGGCAGCACCAGCTGCCCCGCCGACGACGGCGACGCGCAGTGCCGCCGGTACGCCGCCAGCGACCGCGCGCAGCGCGCAGACAGCGCCTCGCGGACCTGCCGCGGGGGGTGCTCGCGCAGGGCCCATACCGCTGCACGACCAAAAACAATATGCTTTACTTTCCAAATACTCTTGTTCGACAACTATGACAACCAACTGTTTTGAGTATATCTAACGCTATTATAATCTTTTATATAATGTCTACGTTCTTTCATCCTATCACAACTGAGCTACCTCAGAAGGCGCTGAAAAGCAAATTGGTGTTCCACAGGGTTCGATTTTGGGTCCATTTTATTTTATAGGTTTTATTTATGATTTTTTGAACATAGGCAAAAATAACTAATTTTAAATGATACACGATTATTATTTGAAAAAAGAAGCGATAGACATAATTTTAATACAAGAGGCAAAGATAGGCTGGCTGTGCCACGGTTCCGTCTGTCCAAAGTACAAAAATCCTTTATGGGGTTCTGTGTAAATTGTTATAATAAAATTCCAAGTACTGTATTGAATCTTAACGAACGAAAATTTAAAACTTATATTAAACGCGAATTGTGTAGACAGGCATACTACAAACTTTCAGGTTATATTGAGGATAAGAATGCCTGGCAGCGTGTTGATTCGACACCACTGGACAATACTCAAATATAGTCAGCAGTTAGGTAAAATCCTCAAAAATAATGCGTCCTTAATATATATAGGTATCCAAAAAGTTTATATAGAAGCACTGTTAAAGATTGTGAGTACGCATATGCGAGCGCCATGTTCGAGACGACAAAGGAGTAAAATTTTATGATATCGTTAAAAAATAAAATGAGGGGTCCCCTCATTTTATTTTTTAACGACTTGTCTCTGCATTGTTCCCACATAAGGGTACAATAATGTATAAGTACTATACATGTTATATTATTGAAATTATAAAACATTTTTTTATTAAAAAGAGTAACGAATCGAGTTTCTTGCTCGTTCTTCTCCATTCGAATCTACAATTTGGAACGAGCACCTAGCTTCACTGACGAACAGACTGACAGACTACTATTCTATTTTGACGTTTCAAAAGTACCTATTTATATTATTTTTATTATTTTTATTTTTATTATGGTTTAGTTGGAATTAATGATTTTGACTTTGACTTTGACATCATTACTTTAAAATAACTCGAAAATTAATTATTGTGACATAATTTTCAACAGGCAATATTTGTCAACGACACGATCGAAGACATTAAGCTCAGCTGATTTTGTAATTACACAAACTACACTTTAGAAGTTTTGATATCATAATTCTGAAGTTTCAAAATATCTGAATATGGTTTAGTTACAATAAAAGACTGAAATTTTACTTTAAACCTTGTAGCCCTCTTCGATTCAGTTTATTAGGCGATCCCATTATCTACCCATATCTCAAAATCCAAAATCTAAACACCACTGTAAAATTGCATACATTCATAAAAGGTAGTAAAATTGTCAAGATAACTTTAGATCTCTTCGATTAATAGAACCTGTCTCTGAAGCCAGTCTTAGAGAATAGTTAATAATTAGGGTGGTAGAGGCGTGACGGACCTTGCTTGGTGAGGAAGTTGATGCAGGTGTCGAGTTCCATGCTGCGGTAGACGTCTGCGAGCTGGTGGGCGACGGCCAGCGCCAGGTTGAGGACCCGCAGGCGGCGCTGGCCGCAGCGCGCCGTGTACAGGAGGGCCGCCTGGATGTACACGCCCTCCTCCGCCGTCAGCTTGTCGTCGTGCTTTATCTCTATGCCGATACCCTTGTCCGCGTCTGGGGGGAGAGGATGAAACAGATTCAAATAATTTGGTAAAACACTTAATATATTTTTATAAACATATTTATATCTATAAGTCTATAGATTCTTGAGAGACTTAACCGTAATCAGAGCCTTTTTAAAAAAATGTCCCTCTTTCTGAGGTTTTTCCTATGTCACACGATATCATATACACAATTACACATCACACCCAGATCCTCTCGACACGTCTCTTCTTGGTTCCCAAACGCTTCACATTACAAGCTATTCCCGTGATACGCTAGCGACTCAAAAAAAATATACAGTCGTACAAATTATGTGAAAGTCATTATAAGAACAAATAATCAACTAGGTAGTTGTCTGAGTGAAAAGTGAAACTTAATAAGTTGCCATAATCATAAAAATACTCATACTTAACTTTACGTTCGTAATTCATAGATAATTAACAAAAATAAGTTTGGTATTTGACGTAAAAATATGATGATATCACACCAAAGATTCGTACACTATTCAAAGACAATAGACATTTTTGATATCTCGGATAAAGTATAAGTTTTATCAAGTGAAATACGTTTTTGACATTTCGGAAGTTTTATCCAGTTGGCAACTTAATATTATATTCCAATAACTCGAAAATATTAAAAATGACACAAACTTACCGATGGCAGCGAGTTCGACATCGGTGGTGTTGGACATAAAGAAGTGTCCGTAAAAGTCGGTGGGGCGTACGCCCGTGGACGTGCGCACGCGCATCACGGCGTCGTGCGCCGTGGGGCGTGATACCACGCGCTGCACGTCCCACACTAGGCGGGGGCCGTCCATCTCCGCCTGTGAGATAAAATATTTACTGAAATTTAATTGACTAAAAAAAGGATCTGTTGGTTTAAAGATGTCAAAAAATAAATTGTACGTAAGCTATAAAAGGTTCAAATGCAAATGCTGAGCATGTCCTTTTTTGCGCACGTACCTCAATGTGTAACGGTGAACGGAGGGAATTTCTAAACTTAATATAATTATAAGCACTACATTTATTTTTTACAAATTATGTTACTTCCTTGTACTTATGGTCCACAGATAATGAATAAGATACACGCGACCTCGTGCATAATTTCATACTCTGTGGACCATAGATAAAAGTTTTCAATTTTTTTTATTTTTTCTTTTTGTTATTAATTTTATTTTAGTTAGTTTAGATCATTAGTATAGTTATTTTCTTCTTTTTTTATTTTTGTTTTCTATATGCGCTAAAACAAATGTTTTTCTTTCTTTCTTTCTTCATTCTAATGAACTTTTATTTGAAAGTAGTTGTTGTTGTTTGTGTCTGTAAGTGGAGATTTTGCCTTCAAGGGTTACTTATCAGCAGTTTAGGAAGGGCGATTTTCAAGAGCTATATAACGTTCATAGAAATACCGAGGAGTACGTACCGTGAAGTAGGTGTACTTGTGCAGCTGCCCCCCAGTAAGACGCGGCAGTTGTCCGAGCGTGGCGACGTCGACGTACGAGTTGTTGCAGACGAACAGCTCGACGCTGACGCCGGCCGCGCAGCACGACTGGCCCAGCTCGTTGTACGCCGTCGTCTGCGGGTCTGCCGTGGGGATAAACACTCATTTATATGAACTCTATTAACCCCTCGAGCTTCCTCGAGCCCCGGGGGATCATAATCAGTCATCATGTTCCCAGAGGCATGACGTGATACCACGGCCTCACAGTAAACCGGCGTGAAACAACCATAACGTTGTTTCGCCGTGTGTGTGAGAGATTACCGAAGACCCAACCCTCCCCCTCCCCCAATCCCTAAATCCCCAATCCCTTAATCTCCAAATCCCCAATCCCTAAATCCCTTATAACAATAACACGGGCCGGCAACGAACTTGTAACTCCTATGGTACAACGAGTGACCATGGGCGGCGTCGATTGCTTACCATCAGATAATCCGTATGCGCGCTTACCAATTCATGATATGAAAAAACAAACGTGTAAGTACTTACTGAGTATCTGTTTTTCCTTGTCAGTGCCGAGGAGTTTGCGGTCCTCCCGATTGGTGAGTTTCCCGGGCGCGTTAAATGATGGTAGGGATGTGTGGAATACTAGGAGCTGGCCTGATGTATCCGCTGCTTTTAGGGCTTCTAAACCGGCCTGGAAAGGAATCATACATAAAGAAGCTTAATTATACTTAACTTCAAAAATAAAGATTTTTTTGGAAGAATCACGATAGAAAAGTAACGTGTACCGTCAGTTGGGACTACTTGGGACTGTCTAAAAATATTGTCCATGACGTTATTTTCTTTTTCTGTTTCTTTGGGTAAATATTAGTGTTCCACTGTTCTTTTAAAATGGGACCGACTTAATAATATATCGAAGAATTTAATTTGTTAAACTTTTTAAGCCTTTGACTGCCGACAGAAAACTGATGAAGGCAAATCCTCCGCTAACGGAGGTCACCGGTGACCCCCATGGCGTTTAACGTTACCATTTGCCCATTCTTATCCATAGAAATCTATTTACACTTTGGAACGCAAATTCGTTATTGAGGATAGATTGTCACTTTTCAACTTACATTTAATTATTTTGTTTGACATTCATAAAATTAAAATACTAGCTCTTACCCGTGGCGTCGCTCCCGTCCTTTAACTACCTATCCTACCTACCCTAATCTACCTACCCTACTCTACCTACCCTACTCTTCCTACCCTACTCTACCTAACCTACACTACCTACTCTATCCTCCTATCTCAGAATACAGAACAAACCAGAAGGCGTCATCGCGCTTCAAACTTAAGCAACTAAAACCATTCTCAACTAGAATAGTATGAAATTTCTACGATTAGTCAATTTTGGCACGTGGCATGTCGTGACGTATTTACGAGTATCAATTTTAATTTCATTATACCGTCTTGTGTTATTACTACGAGTAAAAATGCGACTAGAATTACGAAAAAAGTGGATAAGATTACATTTCATCTGCAAGCATCGACTGGAATAGTATATTTAATTAATTATTGAATTTTTTTTATCGATTTATTTTTCTATGACAATGATGCGGCCATTTTGTGAGTGTTGTCATTTTTGGTGAAAATTTTACCCACTTATTTATTTGTTGTGGGTTATATTTTTGTCCATTATGGAGCCTATGTCATATTAGTTTCCCTGACAAAAAATAAATACAAATCATACAAAGGGCACGGTTAGATTGATCTTGGAAACCATCTAGCCAGAGCATAGTTTGTTCAATTCACTTTGAAGAGATTTATTTATGACAAAGGTGGTTTGAAAACAGCATATCCTACTAAGATATATCTATACTAATTATAATGCTGAAGAGTTTGTTTGTTTGTTTGCTAGAATGCGCTAATCTCAGGAACTAAGTAAAGTAAGTAGACTTCTAATCTTTAGTTCCGAGTCTAAAGACAATCCATATAAAAAACTAAACCAGCAAAAGGGAACGCAATAAAACCTTTGTAGGTACTTATTGAAACTTTATTTAATTTGTTGTGTATAGTAGGTGTAACTAAAATTAACACAGCCAGAAATCGTCAACTTTTATGATACCTCTATGAAATGTGTGAACAACTAGTCTGTTGCATTTATCGTAAGTTTACCTATTTTGTTGGGTTTACTCGTATCTTACCCTCCTGTTGTAAAATTACCCCAAACCAAGGGAATTGTTCCACTGTCGGCAACACTACGCGGGTGTGAAGTGCGGCTGGCGGGGGGATTGACGTATTGTTTTTGGACACATTTGACGACATGTAATTATGAGTGAACGCGGATTCTGGTTTGTTCTGTATTCTGAGCCTCCTATGTCCATCTCCTGGCTTTAAATTACCTCCTTGCTAATTTTCAGCTAAATCGGTTCAGCCGTTCTTGAGTTATAAGTGGAGTTACTAACACGACTTTCTTTTATTTATATACATAGATTTGCAAATATAGCTATCTAGTTAGATTAGCAAAACTGAATCACTTTGTGAAGAAGCTTAAGTAAATGACGAGAAATATGCAAGATTGTACGAGAATATATGAAAAACATAAAACACCAAAGTGAGAACAGCAAATAGTCTGATAGGCTATTATGTGCGAGGTACGGCTTGGAGGAGGAGAAACAACCTGGACGAGAGAATTAAATTGGAGATATTCACCCCTCAAAACAAAAAACTAGATGACTAAAGACTTGGAACTGTATATTTACCTGTACAGCAGGCAGCAGTATGGTCTCAGTCTCCTTGTTGTCCTGGAACATGTTGGGGAGCTGCTGCAGCAGGGCCTGCAGGACGGGGGCGCAGTCCTCGGGGCGCTGCAGGAAGCCCTCCAGCAGGGGCACGAACATGTCGCCCACGTCGCCCACTGACAGCATCTGGGGCTGGGCTAGACTACCCTGCAATAATTAAATAATGAAACCAATTAACTAACCATATAAGAGTACTAGCTACTCTCGCGAGGTTTCACCCGCTGCTCGGCTCTATTTGATCGTAGCGTGATGTTTTATAGCCTATAGCACTCAGAAACATAGTAGCTATCTATCAGTGAAAGAATTTTGGCAATCCGACCAGCGGTTCCAAAGATTACCCCCTTCAAAGAAACTTACAAATTTTACCTCTTTATAATATTAGTATAGATAGATGGAGAAATAAATTAACTGTTCTGATCCGCCTGGTGGTAAGAAATCGGTGGAAACTTATTTTGTAAGGTAGAGAGTAGGGAAAAAGTAAGGAAGAAAGGGGAAAGGGAGAGCAGGAGGGAAGAAGAGAGGCAGAAGATGTGAGGTAGGAGAGGGGAAATGAAAGAGTATGAGAAGATTGGATCTCCGGTAACATCACTGACTCAACGTAACTCAACACAGTGCATGTTTCATACTGTTTTTCTGTAAAGCCCTGGTCTCACTCCGGTCAAAACCGACCGAAAAGTGCCAAAACAAAGCTCCTGGAGAGCTTCCTTAGTTCCAAATGATTTCACTATTCAATTTTCTTTACTTTTACTTACCATGATTTTATGTAAAACGTGTTACATGTTAGTAGACTACATAGTGCTTACCTTGATATTGTAGAAGTGTACAGTGGAGCTGTATGTGATGAAGCCCACGCGGGTATAACTCTTGCCTGTCTGCTCGTCTCTGGGCATCGCCTGGGCACACAAACAAAAATTGAAATAGGGTCTTGACAAACTGTTTTAAATTTATTCATAAAAAAATCATTATCCCACACTAGGACTTTCTCCAGTGTCGTGGGTGCGTTTACAAACATACAATTTCACAAATCACACCCAGACCCGGAATATCAATTTGTGAATCACAAAGAGTTGTTTCGTGCGGGAATCGAGCCCACGACCAATAAATAGCACACCAGCCAGATAATTTATATGAAGTATCTTTAATAATAACTTTATTAGTTGCTCTATGAAGTATCTGCCACATAAGTTTATCGGATATTTATATAACGGGGAAACATTCCATTAGTTTTATTTTCCAATTATTATTATTGTTTGTTTTTTCCTTTCACGGGACCACAGGGTCCCGGACCTTTGGAAGGCGTACGAGGAGCCGAAGCCAACTCGCAGAGGCCCGTTGAACAGTTTTAATCTAAATGTGATGGGACATCAGCCGGCTATTATCCCTGTATGCACTATATAAGTGCACCCAAGGACAATCCCCGGTTGATGCAGGACTATTGTAAAATGTGGTAAAAATTATAATATTTACCTCAATAATATCCATAATGTTCTCACAAATAGTGTGTACAAGACCGTTCTTGATGGCGTTGTATGACACGTCGATGACGAACACTATCGCTGGAGGATTCGGGAGTGTGTTGTTCTGAAAACAAACAAATTAATTAAGAAATATTCTTTGCTAATTCTTTGCTGGTTATTTATATACAAAATCTAGGCTTTTCTTACAAAATATATAGCAAATGTTTGGATAATATTGCTAGTATATTTTTTTTATGTGATAGATCGGCAAACGTGCAGACGGATTACCTGATGGTAAGCAATCAGCGCCGCCCATGGACACCCGCAACAACAGAAGAGTTACGAGTGCGTTGCCGATCTTCTAGAAATAAGGGATTTGGGAGATTTAGGGATTGGGGAAGGGAAGGATTGGGCCTCCAATAAGCTCACTCACAAGGCGAAACACAACGCTGTGGTTGTTTCACGCCGGTTTTCTGTTAGGCCGTCTAACCGACCCATTCGTGCAGAAGCATGGCTCTTCCACACTTTAAATATTTTATTATACGTAGATTGTATAGTAAAAATTCCCAGTTTACTAACTAAAAACTTATTTTCTCTTCTTAATACAAAAAGTAAATATTGAAAATGTGTTACAGAGATACGAAATCTAGTTTAAATTTCATATAATACAAGGCATTCCCTTTTAACATAGCTCATTATCAGCCTATATAGGTGTACTTGTGGGTCAATAGACAAACCCCCTATAAACTATCTATCTTAGAAAAAACGTTCAAGCTACAGACATTATCTAATAACAATACATTTCCTGCCAGTTTATCTGTATGCTACAATAATGGACAGGCCAATCTACCAGTCATAGCCACCCACGCCCATAACCACATAATTTTCTACCATATTGCACAGTAACCTTGCATCAACCAGGGATAATTTTACGACTGATCAATAATATTAAAAGGGTCTCTGCGAGTTGGTTTCAGCCCCTTGTACGCCTTCCAACGGTCTAGGACAGTGGATCGTGAATGAAGCAAACACACAGAATAATAATATTGATGATGAAAAAGTACATGCTTTTTGCTTACCCTGCAATATTCCTTAGTGGCGACAATCTCGTACGCGCCGAGCGCCATCTCTGCCGGTACCCGTCCGTACTGCTGCATACTGTTTATGTACTGCGTGTACTCCATCGGAACTGTAACGTTTATGTTTCATCTAAGTATTTCTTTATAAAGGTGAGCAATTGTAAGTGAACAGTATCTATACTACTATTATAAAGAGGTAAAATTTGTAAGTTTGTATGTAGGGGGTAATCCTTGGAACCGCTGGTCAGATTGCCAAAATTCTTTCAGATGATGATGCAACTACATAGGAGTTACGAGTGCGTAACCGACCTTTTGAGATTAAGGATTTGGGTATTTAGGGATTGGGGAGGGATTAGGTGAGGTTAAGGATTGGGCCTCCGATAACCTTATGAATATTTAGTACTATGATTTTAAAATATTTACAAAGTGACTGAATACACACCTTCAGTAGTAGCCTTACAGAAGGCACACTTGAAGTGTCTGCCGGCGTCCACGAACTTCATGTTGGGACACATGTACGCCTTGCACCGGCTGCAGCGGACGGGGCCCATCGTCGGGGACCCGGTCAGGGCGGCGAAGTCCAGCAGGGGGGGCTCCAGTTCCGACCCTACTGTTTCTGCCATTGGGGACAGCTGGGGAACGAAAGTGGAGGTTTAGATTTTATTTTTCTTTTTTATATTATAATGTTGCCCCACACTAGGTTTTTTCTCCTATGTCGTGGGTGCGGTTACGAACATTCAATTTCACATACACATGACACTCAGACCCGGAACAATAATTTGTGGATCACACAAAGAGTTGTTCCGTGCGGGAATCGAACCCGCGACACGTTGTACAGCAGCCAGTTGCCCAGCCACCACGCCATCCGTCATATCAGTTGTTAGAGCAGATACGACCAAAAGACTGGTTACTGGCTTGGACAAGGTTAAATATTGCATACCATTCAACATGGCAATGCTGCCAGTCTATTGGACCCTATACCAAACGGTAACAGGTATTTTGATGCTCTTTTCTTTATTAACTTTAGTTACAAGTTTCGCTTAATAGAAACATTTCTATTATTTTATGGCCTTTCCCATTCTTTTGTTTATTTAGTTTAGTGTAACACATTTGTAGAAAATTCATAAGTATACAAATTTTAGGGAATTCCAGTAAAAGTATCTAACACATCGTGGATAAGCAACAACAGATACTTTTTCTGTGCAACTTCAACAATTCTCATTATAACTTAAAAAAATTAATTATGTTACAGGTTTATAAAAATCCTAAGATAAGCAATTAGTATAACAGTGTAAGTTATACAGCATAAATCTATCTATCATACACTTGACAGATATAAAACTTCGTGACATTTTCAAACAAAAAAAACCTAATTTAACATTTCAAAATCAAATTATATAGTTTGAAATTAGAACTCATAATTGTATTAACCTTTATACTAACTAGAGATACTAAAATAATGAATAATAAAACTAATGACTGCACGGTTGGCGCGGTGGCTAAGCAACTGGCTGCCGTGTAACACGTCGCGGGTTGGATTCCCGCACGGAACAACTCTTTGTGTGATCCACAAATTGTTTTTCCGCGTCTGGGTAAACGCATTCACGACACAGGGGAAAATCCCAGTGTTAGGCAACGTTTAAAATAAATAAAAAATAACTCACAACTAAGCAGAATGGCATGGATGTCTGTTTGAGCAGGTCTGCAGTCACCGGCACTGTGTACATTGAGCTCCTGATGTAGCGAGGACCTGTAAGCAATAGGATTTAGTTCATAAGTGATGATAAATAAAAATTAAAAGATCCCAGCTTCGCACGGGAACAACTTTGATGCAAAAATTTTCCACTTGCTATTTTATGGACTATTAGCAAAAATAAATTCATTGTTTCATTCCTGTTCAAATCTATCTATTAAAAAAACCGGATCAAAATCCGCTGCGTAGCTTCGAAGATTTAATCAAACATAGGGATATAGGAACACAGAAAGTGACATTGTTTTATACTATGTAGTGTTTGACTTTCAATATAACTACAAGTAGTTTTGAAAGGTCGTGATAGAATAATAATAGTGTCCTTCGTTTATAACAATAATGCAACAGTTGTTTAGTTATACTCAATACTTTATTAGCATTCCATATGTTATACAGGTGGTATTTTTATAAAATCGAACAATATGTTTTTAAGTGTGGGAGAGCCATGTTTCGGCACGAATGGGTCTGCTCGACCGGAGTGATACCACGGCCTCACAGAATACCGGTGTGCAACAAACAACCCAAAGCGTTGTGTTTCGCCGTGTGAGTGAGGTTACCGGAGGCCCAATCCCTCCCCTACCCCTATCCCTTCCCAATCCTTATATCCGCAGCCCCATCCCCAAAAGGCCGGCAACGCACTCGTAACTCCTTTGGTGTTGCGGGTGTCCATGGGCGGCGCCGATTGCTTACCATCAGGTAAACCGTCTGCTTGTTTGCCGACTTATACCATAAAAAAAATGTTGGAAACAATATGGACCCGGTAGGGCACAGCTTAAAGAGGTTATAGATAGAGGCTTGCAGTTCTAGTATTAAATCTATGCTTATCACTAAAACTGTAGTCGTGGTGGCCCGGAGGATAAGGAGCCCGCTTCTCATGCATGAGGGTGTGGGTTCGAAACCCGGCAAGTACCTACCAATGTGACTTTTTCCGAGTTATATGTACTTTCTATGATTATTTAGACACCACTGACATACGGCGAAAATAAACATCGTGAGGAAACCTGGACTTATAATTTCTAATTATAAGTTTGAAATCGCCAACCCGCAATGAGTAAGCGTGGTGATTAATGCTCTAACCTTCTCCGTATGAGAAGAGGCCTTTGCTCAGCAGTGGACACTTTTAGGCTGATGATGATGATATCACTAAAACTTAATAAATAATAACATATTACATTCATATGAATATATAATAATATGATCAACTTACTGGCATTTCCTTTATCATCTACAACGAAGTCGGTGGTGGCCAGGGGAGGGACGAGCCCTTTCTCGTTGGTCACGAAGATACCGCCGCGGTTCTGCTGGTCATCTGCCATCACTTGGATCTGTGCAAGTGGAAAGTTATCATATTATATTAAACATTTCAATTACTCAATAAAAGTTAAGATGTGTTTTCACAATGTTATAATCCTAATGTTTTTTTCTTTACCTTTAGAAGTACTTGTAGTATAAGTTTTGATTAACAAACATTTATTTTTTAGTTTTAAATAACATTAGCTATAATTCTCAAAATTCAAAACGGGATATTATTAAGCACAGGACAATCGTAAAGTGATAGTATCGCCCAGGGCGAGAGGGAGTGCCACTCATACTGACTTTAAAAACCACCCCGTCTTGTCCTGCTTAAGGCCAGCAATTTATTAATTATTTATTGCGCATTGGTACATTATTTTGCGTTTGATCCGCAACCCCCGAATGTTTCTATAGGCTTAGATCAACAATAACTAAGTGATCCTTAATTTGCCTTACCAAAGCGCAAATGCGAGTAAAATCACTACAAGACATAAAAAACTGGCTTACAGGGCTTGGCATCTGATCAGGATCCAACCTCTTCTGCTCAGGTTGTTGTTGGTATTGTTGTCCAGGGTAGGGCTGCTGACCAGGATAGGGTTGCTGGCCAGGGTATTGTGGTGGGTAGCCGGACGAGGGTTGCTGGAATCCACGCTGTTGCTGACCTGGCATCGGCGGCTGGGGCGGCATCTGGTTCGGTGCTGGAGGCATGCCTAAGGAGAAAATTGAGGAAAAGGTAAAAAACTGAAATCCTTATAGTATGTATGTATAAGACTAGCTTCCGCCCGCGACTTCCGACTAGTATAAAAGTAGTATTGTCCCAGCATGTTTTAAACGCTGGGGCACCGAATATTGAAATATTAGTTTTCAATGCTAAAGTTTGTAGTATATAATAAGACTAAAATAAGACTATAAGTTGATATATTAAAGCCAAGTTTGGACAAATAATACAATCATAAACAAAAGAATACTTATAACATTAATTTCAATTAAGTATTTGCGTGGACGCAATTTAGTATGCCTCACAAAACTTGTGATACTAATTGAGTTCCTTTTCAAAGGTTAATTGATAAAAGTTATAGGTATTAGTAGTTCGACATGCAACGTTTACTTAGCAAAGACCTTGTACATTGTAAAGTAAAGCACCTACATTTTCTCAATCATTATTATTACTATGTCAACTTACTTGGATACTGACCACCAGGTTGCTGTCCCGGCTGTCCGAACCCAGGTTGGCCAGGATACTGGCGTTGCTGTGATAATGGTGGTGGCATGTGGGGCATACCACTCATAGTTTGAGCCTGCCCTTGGAATTGACCCTGATAACCAGGCTGTGGAGGCAACCCTGGCTGACCAGGCATTTGACCAGGTTGCGGTGGCATTTGGCCAGGTTGAGGTGGCATTTGGCCAGGTTGAGGTGGCATTTGACCTGGTTGTGAAGGCATGCCAGGTTGTGGTGGCATGCCAGGCTGTGGTGGCATTCTTGGTTGACTCAACTGTCCAGGCTGCGGGGGCATTCCAGGTTGGCTCATTTGTCCAGGGTGAGGTGGCATTCCAGGTTGACCCATTTGTCCAGGTTGAGGAGGCATTTGGCCAGGTTGCGGTGGCATTCCTGGTTGACTCATCTGACCAGGTTGTGGAGGCATCCCAGGTTGTTGACCTTGCATTTGTCCTGGTTGTGGAGGCATCTGTTGTCCTGGTAGGCCCGGTTGTGGAGGCCCTGGCATCTTTCCAGGTTGTTGATGACTAAGACCTGGTTGCTGTTGGCCAGGCTGTTGCATAGGCGCGGACATCATGGCTGGTTGAGGAGGCATGCCAGGCTGCCTTTGCATTTGTCCAGGCTGTCCAGGCTGGCCAGGCTGACTAGCCTGACTAGGCTGACTAGGCTGTCCGGGCAATCCAGGTGGTTTCGATTGTGGTGGCATTCCAGGTTGTTGACCCATATTCATCTGAGGAGGCATTCCTTGTGGACCTGACTGCATACCAGGCGGACCGCCCATTTGAGGCTGTGGAGGCATTCCGGGTTTAGGTGGCTGTCCTCCTTGTGGTGGCATTCCACCTTGTTGTGGCATTCCTCCTTGTGGCGGCATTCCTCCTTGGGGAGGCATCCCTGGCCTACCCATACCAGGTTGAGGCGGGAAACCAGGCTGGGAATGAGGAGGAAGACCAGGCTGGGAATGAGGAGGCATGTGACCAGGTCCTTGCATGCCAGGTGGTTGTCCCATAGGTGGTTGACTAGGTTGTGCACTTGGTGGCCTTTGCTGCATAGAAGTAGGAGGTTGGAACTGCCTGTTCTGATCTGGTGTTTGACTTTGAGGTGGCATGCCATAACCAGGTGGAAGAGATGTTGGCACCTGTCCTGGAGCCGGTGATGGAGGCATCTGTGGTTTCTGGCCCATTGGAGGGAACTGAGGAGCTCCACTCACTGGAGGTCTACCAGGCATTCCAGGGGGTGCTTGGCTAGGCGGAATTTGTCCTGGACCATAGTTTGATGATGGTGGGAAGTTCCCAGGGGGAAACTGGCCTGGTGGAGCTTGACCAGGGGGTAACTGAGTGGATGGGATGGACTGAAAACCTTGAGGTCCATTCAAGTTCATGTTCTGCATCTTCTGCGACATATCCAGTGGGTCAAATCCCTTCTGTTGCATCTGGGGTCCATTTGGTGGCATCTGGTTGTAGATGTTTGCATTTTGGACTCCATTGTAATCTTGAGAGGTTGGGGGAAACATGGGGTTGTTGGGTGCGTTATTGTTCTGTCCGGGCGGTGGATATTGTGGATTCATCATTGTACTTGGGTGCCGAATATCCTGTGTAGAGATAAAAAAAATTAAAATGAGTGTAAATACAACAGAACAGAATGAAATTGACTATGTCGTAGTATGTTGTATATCACAAATAACTAGTGCCAAGGTAAAAGCACAAGATGTTTGCTGTACCCCATTGTCAAACTGTTGCATGTGCTAAGTCTCCAAATCCTCGTACTCTAGTCTCACTTAATGATCTCCTGGAATCCAATCCAATTGATGGGTGGAAGGAAAATTAACTGGAGCGCATGAGGTACTGCGAGAGGACCTTATAAACATTGTTAATTCTTATTGTGTTTTGTTGTAAATCTAATTGATAAAAATATGTTCTATGTTGTACATTACTATCAAACAGAAGTGACCATTGATGCATACACAGCACACATACACATAAAATATTTTATCATCTCATTCAGGAGTTATTAACACTAACAAAATTGGGTCACACACACTATCAATCATCTCTTCCATGCATTCATCAATATTCTTTATTATAATCATATTCATTGATAAAAATTGTTTATATTAAAATATTATTAAGTAAGTATATACAGTTTTGTTTTTTTAATTACCAATAACAATTATCTCTTATGAGATAATTGATAGGAAATAATAATAAGTTAGTTTAGGACATTTTAAACAAACTTTTGGGTATATAAGTCTTTAAAACTAACCTATAAGAATGAATGACTATGGGAAAAGTATTTATGAATCGAATTGGGTATTGTGAGTCAATGTGTAAATAAAAACCATTAATTAATTTTACACATTATTCAAAAAGTTTGTCATGATCGTTAGAATATCAAGATTCACCATCTAAACATAATGATTGTCACTTTCACTTATAATTCTTCAGACAACACTGATGACACATCGATTAAACATTCCACAATTCTCATTACTTTAAAATGGATTACTGCTTATTACATCAAACTAGTAAAGATTTAGAGAGAAGCTACAGTCTAGACAATAATTCAGAATGATGCTAAATAAATTTATCGTTGGAAATCTGATAAGAATATCATAACAGATTCTGGTGACATACATTGTAGACAATGTTACTCTTCACCTTAATTAAAGACTGCGTGATATTATTTGTCATAAAAACATCGTCTTATAGGCAGAATACGTGGGAATGTGCAATTAAATACGATGAAACATAACATTAATCGAAAAGTACACGTCTGTCAGAACGGCTAAAATAACATCATATTTTGACAAAAAACCACCTTCCGCTAATGCCAAGATTACCTAGCGATCAGTTACGAAATTCAACTCAATATTTATATTATATAACGTTATAATATTAAGTTAATTACACAGAATCTAACGAAATCTTGTTAGGATAATTTTGACAGCTGCAACCTCAACTTTGTTCATAATTTACGCAAAGACCCACAATGGTTGGAATAGTGAAAATTAACAGGAATAAAGGGAATCAATATGTTTTCAATTACTTACGGCTTCCGAGGAGATTTTTATAGAATTTACACAATAAAAAATATAAACAAGTCCCACTAATCACAGAACTTCGGGGCCACGTATTCGGCAGTGTTGTCAGTCTGATACCGCTTATGTGGAACTTTTTGATTTTTGTTTAAATTGCGTGGAATGGAACGTAGTTGTGATTTTTATTGATGACATTTAAGTTGAAAAAGATTGTTATATAGATATTTTTGAAAATAATTTGAAATTATCATACATTAATACAGTGCTTGTTTTTTTAGAATAAGCATTTAATAAATCATAATAAAAAAATCACATTACGTCTATAAGAATTTGAAGGGAACGGAGTGATCAACGTCATTATGGCAACCATGATCATTTAATGTCAAATTGTAGCATCTCAGATTTAAAAATAAACCTTATGCTAATAGCCGTAATTTGATAATCGTTTATCCAAACAAAATATTACGCTTCCTTTGAGGAATTTAATTTAAAAAAGTTACTACCAATACCCACATTACTCATCAAAAATGATATGATAACAAAATTATTTACATGAATAAGATGTATCGTCGGCACGTTATCTAACTGGAAATATGCCCAGTGCATAATCGTAGGTAAGCCCAACACGAATAACAATGCGTAATAAAACCAGCATTTAGCATAGCTACATTTTACATCTCCGGTGTTGCAGATGTCCATTAGCGGCGTTGACACCTTATTCTCAGGTAATCCGCCTGTTTGATAGAAAAAACCTTATAGGAAAACAAATTCACAAGCAATAGTACTACGTTCCTTGGACATCGAATCCGAAACTACTTATTTTGATTGACTACCACCCCTTTGGGCCAATATACTAGGTACCATGGTTTGAGGAGCAAACCGCGGATTCGTACCTATGTGTATTTTTTATATGAGATAGGTACATACCTACCCAAACGAGCAGACGGATTACCTGATGGTAAGCAATCGGCGTCGCCTATGGACACCTGCAACACCAAAGAAGTTACGAGTGCGTTGGATATTTAAGGATTTAGGAGGGAGACGGATTGGGTCTTCGGCAACCTTACTTACACGGCGACAAAACGCCGTTTTTTTTATGAGGCCGTGGTATCACTCCGGTCGAGCCTACCCATTCGTGCCAAAGCTTGGCTCACCCCAAACCCACAACGCTGCTACAACACTAGCAGGAAGGGAAAGGCTAGTGAAAGCTATTTCGGTATTCAGCCACACGGCACAAAACTATTGAAAAGAAAATATCGATAAAATATTCATCAGTTTGTTGAAATAGGAACTTCTTATTAATACTTAATGTAAATTGTGCGGAGTAAGTAGCTGTACCTACCAACAGAAAAGTAATTGGTAAATATCGATAAATTATTGTAATTAAGTACCTCTAGGTAGGAACCTAAACTTTATTATTTAGACTTATCTTAATGTTTTTTTTTTTGTAAATCTTATCCTACTCATATTATACATGTGTAAGTTGGTGAAAATGTATGAATGAAGTATTATGGTAGTTGTTATTTTATCCGCCCGGGATGATCATTTGATGATTTTCATCTCACAAAAAAAAGGTTTTGGAGGCAAACGAACTGACCAATCACGTGATGGTAAGTGATTAGCATCGCCTGCCCATGAACACCTGCAAACTGAGGAGTAACAGGCGCGTTGCCGACCTTTAAAAAAGGAATAAGTTCGTTTCATGAAGGTTTGAAGATCGTATCGGTTCGAAAATACCGCCGCCGAAAGATCATTCCAAACTTTTGCTATGCGGGACAGAAAGTTACGGGAAAATCGCACAGTTGTTGACGCAATCTATATAAGTATATGATAGAGATGAAACTGTTTTCGCGTGGATCAATGGCGAAAAGAAGCGGTGGAGATCAAGCCGAACATTTCTTCGAAGCACTCTCCGTGGTACCTACGTATAGGTAGGCGAAAGAGAACACATGTGATAGTAAGGCGATATCCCTATCTTATTAAGAATTTAAAGTGTTTTAATATATTTATTTGTATGTTCCATATACCTATGTTTATATTAAATGGGGTTCGCATCGCATCCCCGGCGACTGCGAGGTGCTGGCTGGACCTCAATGTAGCTACGACACACCCCTGGGCTCGTAAAGCGCATGCGCGAACTGCGCCGTAGTGATGTCAAACAGTACTGTCTAGTGTCGATTAGTCTATATATTTTTTTTATGTTTTACAGGTTAGGTACCTGTCATAAACGCTCCTCTCTCTCTCTCGTTCTTATTGTTTATAATATTAATAATATTTCGTTAGTTTGGCTGATCGTAAAAGGCTTTTAGTAAGCGATCAGTAGGTCTTGTAGGCTTGCCGACAGAACAAAATAAATATAGGTACCAAGACTTGAGTGACTGCTTTAAAAGACACGGTTTATTAATTTACTTTGCTTGAATATGGTCCAAAGTTAAGAAACTAGTGACATCTGAGTTTACCTTGGTGTTCCTTCATAGAATAGTAGCTATGATAGATATGAAACCCTCTTCAAATTCTTTCAATAAATTAATGGAGCACTGATTGAGTGCGCATCGCTTGTATTTAGGTTGAGTATCTAATAAAACCCAATGATGAAATGATATTAATTTATTTGTGTAAATATGCTACGAAATAGCACTGTCATGCAGCAGTATTTTTTATTAAGATACGTGTGGCCTGCATTTTCTATCATAGGTACTATTCTATGAAGGAACTCCAAAGTAAACTCAGATGTTACCAGTTTCTTAACTTTTTGAGGGCGGAGCTACCTCTTCATATGCTGTATCAATTGTAGGTTCCCCTGAGCAAAGGGGGTCCCAACATATTTCAACGAAAAATATTAAAGCCTTCCAAATTTGTTTTTTTTTTTTAATGTAATAGGTCGGCTAACGAGCAGACGGATTACCTGATGGTAAGCAATCAGCGCCGCCCATGGACACCCGCAACGGAGGAGTTACGAGTGCGTTGCCGACCTTTTAGGGATTAGGGATTTGGAGATTTAGGAACTGGGGAGGGATTAGGGAAGGGGAAGGATTGGGCCTCCGGTAACCTCACTCACACGGCGAAACACAACACTGGTTGTTACACGCCGGTTTTCTGTGAGGCCGTGGTATCACTCCGGTCGAGCCGACCCATTCGTGCCGAGGCATGACTCTCCCACACTTAAAATAAAAAATTATGCAAATGACAAATCTAAAAGAAGCTATCGCGTAATGCATGATAGCGAAATGGAAAACCTGACAGCTTGAAGACTCAAGGTCTCCCGCATCAGACCTACACATTATCAGCCTATAAGTGCCCAATGCTGTGCAAAGCCCTCTTCTCACACGGAGAATTGAAAAATCATCACCACGCGTGATTGTTTTCAAAGTTATAATTCGATTTTATTTTCCTGCTTCCTAACGATGGTTTCATTTACGGCGAAGGTCAGTGGTACCTAAATAATCATAGAAAGTACATGTAACTCGGAAAACGTCACATTGGTACTTGCCAGGTTTCGAAACCGCACCCTCATGCATGAGAAAAAGGCTCCACCACGACTATACTAAATTTTTTTAATCAATGTTATGTAAAAGACTCCTCTTTGCAGAACAAAAAAATAATTTTCATTATTAGGTATCTTACCTTGCTACACTGAAACACTAAGGTTTTTATCGATATTTAAATTCAACTGCCCATCACTACGTCTGAAACCACCCCTCTATCGATTTCCACCGCCGAAGCCTAATTTTATCTGTTTGGACAAAACTACCCTTAGTGAAACACCCTTACAACCATTTTGAAACAACTTAAACTCTACCTTACGTCGTACGCATAAAGATAACGTTTCGTTAATGGAGTCGTGTTTTTTTTACCTTAATGAAACTGAAAGGAGAATTGTATGAAATGAAATGAGTGAGGTTACGGGTTCAATCTTATGTGCATAGCAATAAAGTCGCGTTTCCTATACCGCGAGTGGAACAGCGCGGTGGACGGCACTTCAAGTTTCAGCCGTCGCCGAGCCGCACAGCTCCAGGTGAAAATGTAGATTTCAGTTGCGTTTCAATAATTTTCAGTGTTTCTTTATCAAAATTAGTAAAATAATGGTGTTCTGGGCTGATAGAAGTGGCAGTGTCGGTCGGATTGATAGAAGAATGTTGTAAAAGTGGTTTTAGGCTGTGACCTCATGGCGTACCCTTAGCAGAGCAGACAGCGTGGGACATTCTGGAACATAAAAACCCTATCAAAAAGGAAGAAAGGGATATTGAAGGTAATCCATTATCATATATTTCGCATTGTTGGTATAATTTTCAGAATATACATACTTCAGAAGTGCTATAGACTGTGTCAAGGCTGAATAGATATATATGTTCATACTTAGTATGTAGATACATGTGTCTCTCATTAACAGTGTGATGACCTCAGTGATTGAAAATATGGATCAATTAATTTTAATACTTCTTGAATGAAGTCTAAAACGTTTGATGACGAAAACGTGAAAGAAATTACCTAAGATTCTTTGGACCTAGGTAATGGCGGATTTTTATCCACACATGTATCGATTTAATGACTCGATATTCGCAAAGCTTGACTTCTTCCGAATTATATGGTACTTTCTATTATTATTTAGACACCACTGACGTACGGTAAAGGAAAACATAAAGTGGAACCTTGGAAAATAAGATTTATAAGTTTGAAATCGCCAATCTGGCTTGAGCAAGCGTGGTGATTAATGCTGAAATCTTCTCAGAGTGAGAAGAGGCCTTTGCTCAGCAGTGGGTTCTTATAGACTGATGATGTGTCGTGAGTCATAAAATGTTTATACTTAATTGGTGGTAGTGATTCGCCGTGTACTTCATTGAGCATGAGCTTAATTGCTTTTCTCTTCATATTTTTGATTCATTTATAATAATTAAATGAAGAAACTGTTGTGTATTCTTAGTTTGTTCCACCTACAAGAGAGTCCAAGATAGGGAAAGTTGGAATAAGAGGAAACACTCTCAATGTCCCTAAAGATTACATGTTAGATAGAAAGCAGAGAGTTAGGATAGGTGCATACTTTAGTGCTGATGCAGGCTTGTCATAAATATGGTGATGCTATGGTGTGCCTCAGGGTAGTGCTCGCGGCCCTACACTATTTTTTGAAGTATATGAAGGAT